GCTTCGTTGAGTGAGGGTTACTTCCCCACCGCCTTGAAAGAGGCGGTGGTGAGGCCTCTCCTCAAGAAGCCGTCCCTGGATCCGGCAATATTGGCCAACTATCGTCCTGTCTCCAACCTTCGCTTTATGGTGAAGGTTGTTGAGAGTGTGGTCGCACGACAGTTTCCGCAATTCCTGGAGGAAACATCTTATCTAGATCCGTTCCAGTCGGGTTTCAGGTCTGGGCACAGCACAGAAACGGCATTGGTCGCGTTGGTTGATGATCTCTGGAGGGCTCGGGACAGGGGTTGTTCCTCTGTTCTGGTCCTGTTAGACCTCTCAGCGGCTTTTGATACCATCGACCATGGTATCATGCTGCACCGGCTGGAAGAGTTGGGGGTGGGAGGCACCGTGTTGCGGTGGTTCTCCTCCTTTCTCTCCGACCGGTCGCAGTTTGTGTTGGCAGGGGGGCAGAGGTCGACCTCGAGGCCTCTCATTTGTGGAGTGCCGCAGGGATCGGTCCTCTCGCCCCTTCTGTTCAACATTTATGTGAAGCCGCTGGGTGAGATCATCTGTGGCTTTGGGGTGAGATACCACCAGTACGCTGATGACACCCAGCTGTACATCTCCACCCCAGGCCACCCCAACGATGCCCTTGAAGTGATGTCCCAGTGCCTGGAGGCTGTACGGGTCTGGATGGGGAGGAACAGGCTCAAGCTCAACCCTTCCAAGACTGAGTGGCTGTGGCTCCCGGCATCCCGATATAGTCAGTTGACTCCATCACTGACTATTGGGGGCGAAGTCATTGGCCCCCACAGAGAGGGCTCGCAATCTCGGAGTCCTCCTGGATATGCAGCTGTCCTTGGAGGAACATCTGACGGCTGTAACCAGGGGGACCTTTTGTCAGGTTCGCCTGATTCGCCAGTTGCGGCCCTTTCTTGATCGGGATTCCCTGTGCACAGTCACTCACGCCCTCGTCACCTCTCGCCTTGACTATTGCAACGCTCTCTACATGGGGCTCCCCTTGAGGAGCACCCGGAGGCTCCAGCTGGTCCAGAACGCAGCAGCGCGGGTAGTGACGGGAGCAGCATGGCGCTCCCATGTAACACCGCTCCTGCGCGAGCTGCACTGGCTCCCAGTTGTCTTCTGGGTGCGCTTCAAGGTGTTGGTTATCACCTTTAAAGCGCTCCATGGCATAGGGCCTAGCTATCTTCGAGACCGCCTGCTGCTACCAACGACCTCCCATCGACCCGTGCGCTCCCACAGAGAGGGCCTCCTCGGGGTGCCATCAGCCAGACAATGTAGGCTGGTGACCCCCAGGGGGAGAGCCTTCTCTGTGGGGGCACCTACCCTCTGGAATCAGCTCCCCCCAGAGATAAGGAGAATCCAAGACCTCAGTGCCTTCCGTCGCGCCCTTAAAACCCATTTATTTAAACAAGCCGGGCTGGCTTAAGATGAAATTTTTAACTGTTTTTAAATGTTTTAAACGTTTTTAATTGGTAAATGAGTTTTAATTGGGCCAAATTTATATATCTTTTAATTGTTTTTAATATTTGTTCTGCATGTTTTTTAATCTGGCTGTACACCGCCCTGAGTCCTCAGGGAGAAGGGCGGTATAGAAATCCAATATAAAATAAAATAAATAAATAAAGATTGCACATTGCTCACTAGTCACTCCTTTTCATGTGTCCCTGGAACCAGCAAAAAATCTACAATGCCAAATTTAGTGGTCCTTTCAATATATCAGTTTAGATTAATCCAATTACTTTTTTATTTGCAACATCCAACTATAATAGAAGTATATCCACTTCCCGGTATTCTGTTTTGGTCCTTGAATATCTTTCATGCTAAGGTTCTCATGCTGAGATTCCAATCTCAGCTGGGTGAGGAATTCAAAATGGAATATATTTTGGGATCTCAATGAAAAAGAGCAAATTAAAATATATGATTTGGCAGAAATGAATATAGAATCTGGAAAGCAACAGAAAATGTCCATGAATTCCATATTCTTTACCAATTCCATTTGCCATATCCACATATGTCCAAGCCTCCTAATTGGCCCTTCAGTCCTCCTATAACACTTGTTAGCAATTCAAACCCTGAAGAAAAAGGCACTTGGTCTGGTAGATGATATGTTGACTGCCAGCCAGAAACCTTCTGCAGGACAAACTTCTGAATGGGGACGGAAGGGTGGGAGAATAATAAGTGAATACATTTCTGAAATGAATATTCTTTCCTTGCCTGCCTCTGATCTCCAAATTGCAATAAGCAGTTTCCTTCCTCCCACCCAGCTTTACCAGATCCTGAAGGGATGAGTTTTGATCTGGGAATTGCATCTGATCAAGCAATTGTAGTATCAGAAACTGCCCACTTGTAGTTATTTCTCTGGAAGATATAAAGATTGATTTCTCTCTTCTCTCCATATGAAAAATGACATTTTAGGATGGGAGAAGGGAAGAGATAGTACTTTTCATCCAAGTTCCCCGGAGGGGTAGAGAAAGGAGGAGAGCTGTTCAACCTCAACAGATGCAGAGAATCTGCAGAAAAATTACAGATTCTTGCTGACTTAGTTATGTGAAAAAGAGGGAGGAAAGAAGCACTAAATTTCCTTAGCTAAAGTGGATAGAAATAATTGCTCTTGAAGTGGGAGGTGAAGTGAGAGCTCACTTGGTCAAAAACAAACAGTCTGATACCAGATCTGTTTGTTACTAAAGACAGATGCCACTTTATATAGGCAGGAGGAAAATGAAAGAATTTAAGTCTTAATTTCACTATATATTTGATACCAAATCACTGAGATTCATTTACAATAGCTATATTACTTTTGTATAATTTATTTGAAACTTTGCATAAATAAACTTTATTTATGCCTATTTATCTGAAAATTTGCTGCCTTGGGATCTATTCTTCAAAGGGTTTGTTTGTTTGCTTGCTTGCTTGCTTGCTTGTTTTTGTTGCCAAACAAGGGAAGCCTGACAGATTTCTCAGTGACAAAAGAAGTAGTCACTTTCCTCCCTCCTTCCCTCTTTCTCCTCTTTCTCTCTATCTCTGTCTGTCTCTCTCTCTCTCACACACACACACACACACACACTGAAATACACAAATAAACACAAGAATGGAATAATTAATGCAAAAATAATCCCAATAGAGGCAATGAAGCCAGAAATACTGTATTGGCTATATGGCCAGGTCTACACAGCTGATCAGCACAGAGTTAATGAGTTTCATGAGATTGCATCACAAAGAAACATCTGATTGGTTTTTTACATTGACCAATTGACATTACTCCAAGAATAGCAGGACAAAGCAGATTTGCATGGCAGAACAATTTTATATGGCCCCAATGTTATTGACTACATTTTCCCAATTCCTTAATCAGTCTTAATTTGTTCTGTATAACATACAGTACAGTTCAGCAATGAAAAACCAGATAACAGTCTTGAATACTTAGAGGTAATCCAATTCCTGTTTTGTCTTTCATTCCAGATTTCTCTCTTTTGTGGTGGGGTAGGACAACAGAGAAAGAGACATTTCCTTAATAGCAGGCAATTTTTATGTAGCATGTCACTATTGGCACATGGAACAATCACTCTTCTCTCTGTATGAAGCAATAAGATCTCCAGGCATCTACCCAGATTTTGGAATCAGTTTACAATTATCTGTAAAGCACTAATATATGTTAAGCAAAATGCCTAGCTTCGGTAAGGAATATTCTTGAATGCCTACAGATCTTTATTTGCCATCATTTGGGCAAGAAATTACACAGATTTTCAGAACTTTGAGAATCAGAAAATGGCAGCAATAAGAATCAAAATAGGTAGGGCAGATGCCTCTATATATTCATTTATTTTTCATCCAAGATGAAAAATTTATATCACTTCCTATGATGCACCAGAGATTAGTGGTATGTAGGAATAGATAGGAAGTAAAAATGAACGCTTCTACTGAATGACTTGATTTGGGGAAGAATAAAAAGGGATAGTAGAAGCAAAACAAAAACAAATGTTAAAACTCCTAAAATGAAAAAAAAAAAATCCATTATTTTTTTTTCTTTAAAGAAAAGACAAGAAGAAATCTATTCCTTACAACAGTGAGCACCATTCTGAAGTGTTTGTGTTACTAGTCCCAAAGCTGACTTTTGAGATTTTCATTCTGTTGAATGGCAGTTATTGTAGATCTTGGGGCAATGGGGCTTCCTCTATATAAAAATAGCATGTATCAATCTTTCTATTTAAAAGCCCAGAATATTCTATGATAATGGTTATAGTGACACACTCTGGTTGATCTGTAGAAGAACAGTGTCTACAGAACCTCCAGTGATTATGTGGGCAGCTATGGACTTGCCTTTTGCAACCTGGTGACCTCTAAAAATATCTGGAATAGTTCATTATCAAAATCTGAAAATGGTTGGGTTTTTGGATTCTACCCCAATCTGAAAAAGGCTGTCATTTTTATTGACAGGTGAAAACACTTGTTTTACATTTGTTTTATAAAGTTACACTTGTCTTACATTTATGTAAGAGTGACTGTCATCATTTATGCAAAACATTTGCAATGCCTGATATAGACTGTAGTGTACTTATTGCCAGCATTTTCTTATAAGCCACAACTAAACCAAAAGCTTAGCCTGTCCTAGCAAATAAACCAATTTCAGCCTGCCTAAACTAATCTGTATTTATTATGCAAGGCTTTCTATGGCTAGTAAAATAAGCCATCTGCCACTATATTCCCTGCTAACCTTTAATGAAACGTCTATCAATCAAAGAAGAGCTACAAAAGTGAATGGAAGGGCGGGGGATAGGAATTAGGCGATGCTTTAAAAACACTGGGAGAATCCTTGCTGAGCAAATCTTGCCTGGTGAGCCCAGTGGAATAGCGCCTGTCTTCAAAATTAATTCAAAAAGTTCAATCAAATGCCTCAGTCCGCAAGCTCTGCGATTGTTTAGGTGGACTCAGCCGATCCTTCCCGGAGAATCAGCCCTCGGCCACCGCTGCAACCCAAAAAGGCTGGGCGTCCCTACCTTGGAAGAAGAACGCTTTGCTGCCGTTGTGCAGTCCCGGAACTTGCCGCACTCCAGCCACAGAGTCCCCCAATTGCAACTCGCTCAGCACATCAATCTGCATCGAAGGGTCCACGCCAATGCCGAAAACTGAATCCAGAAAAATAAAAGATTACAACGTAATGGGGGCAACTTTTCTCCCTCCGTCGCTTTCTTCCCCCGACCCCGATTTTCTTCTTTCTAACTACCCACGACCCGAGATCCCCTGGAGATCCCCTTGGATCAGCCGCACCCACCAGTCAGGCTACGAGACCTAGTTTCGTGCGGTCCATTGGCAAAGTTCTGGGGGTCTGATGTTGGCTCCCAACTCTCCTCCCGACCTCTTCAGTGGCGGAGACAGACCCCAATTCTCCCCATGAGAAACAAAGAGCCGGCCGGATCAAAGGCACCGCGCGGGGGTTGGGGAGGAAGGGGAATTGGTGAGGAACCCTCGGCTCCTTGCCCTTACCTGAGCTCAGGCAGAAGAGCAGGCACAAAGTGCTCGCGAATACCGGCGGGGACTCCATAGGACTAGAGAAGGAGCGGCGATCAGTCCATAGTCCTCCTCCGGAGCGGATCGCGGCGAAAAAAGCAATGCCCGAAGCCTCCCGAGCTTTCTCTCGCGGAGGCTCTTTTCTCTCAGGAAAAACTGAGGCTCCTGCAAGCGAAGGTCAACGAGATCGGAACCAGCCCCAAAGCTCGCAGCATCCTCCCGGGCGTATCAAGCCGAGAGCAGCAACAGCCCCGGCGCCGCAAAGCCCGAAGCCGGCCCTGTCCCTAAAACAGTGGGGGGAAAGAGCCGGAGAGCGCGTCGCGCATGGGGTAGTGCCGGGAGCTCCCTGTGGGAAGCGAGGCGAGTAGCGTGGGGAAGAGGCGCGCCTAGCTCGCTCTCTCCCATCAGACTTCCTCGCCAAGCCCCGCAGCCATTACCAATAGCAGCAGCAGGAGCCGCCGCTCTATCTAACAGCGCTGGCGAGGCTTCAGGCTCCTCCTCGCAGCATCAGAAGGGGCCGAGGCGGCGACAGGTTGGAAGAGGAGGCGGGTTGCGGCCGGTGATGACAGACGGGTGGGCGGTGAGAGGGAGGCACCCTAAGGCACTTCCCGCGCTCCTCGACGACAACCGGGGAATCCTTTTCCTGTTGGACCTCTTCGTGGGCTTCGTTCCCGGGTTCGCTTTTTTTGCCAAAGACGCATTCGTCCCCATTCGGTCCTCACACAGCGCGCAACCCTCTATTGATCTAAAGCTGCAAATTCCTACAGTGAGTTGGAGTGCAGTTGGAGAACAGCCCATCTTCATCCCCTTTTACCTGTAAGAACCTCGGTGCGCATCTCCATTCATTCAATTTACCATGACTAAAGAAACACATTGGGACAGGTCCCAGAATTCTCGTGTGATCTGGAAACTGTGGAGAAAAGATACAAGTGTGTGGGTGGAGCTCCGAAGAAACTGCTTGTACTCAGTGATGAAATCCAAATTTTTTTACTACCGGTTTTGTGGATGTGGCAGGGGAAGGATATTGCAAAATCGCCATTCCCACCCCACTCTGGGGCCAGCCAGAGGTGGTATTTGCTGGTTCTCTGAACTACTCAAAATTTCCGCTACCGGTTCTCCAGAACCTGCTGGATTTCACCCCTGCTTGTACTCCCCGGATAACTAAAGTCTATCTAAGATCAGGTTTATATATCCTCGGTCCTTTATATACACCCTCAGGATATGGTCGTGTTACCCATTATGATTAAAATTGTCCTTGTTTAAACTTTTAAGGGGTTCGGGGAGGGGGGAGGGGGGTGGGATTGGAATTAGGATTGTGGGTTTGGGGGATAACCCACTAGGGGGAGAGTCGGGCTTGGCCAGGACGTTCGGCGGGGGTGGTGGGGGATCCGGAGGGGGTCGAGTTGGTCCAGACTATGCTTTCACCATCGGTACTGTGTGTGGGAGGGGTAGATATGGCGGGAGCAGGGGGCCATATCATGTTAAGGGAGCACGCACCCGCTGTCTTCAAGCGGTAGAGTGCTCCGGCCCCCAAGGCTCCACCCGTTCTCCAGGTAGTACAGACCTTCAGGGCCCGGGCCTTCGTCTGATGTTGTGCAACGCCAGGTCTGTAGTAAATAAAGCCCCCCTCATCTGTGATCTTGTTTACGAGGGGGGAGCGGACCTGGCGGGTATTACGGAGACCTGGTTGGGCCCAGAGGGAGGGGTCCCTCTGGTAGAAATGTGCCCACCAGGTTTCCACGCATTCCATCAGCCAAGGTCACAGGGGAGGGGTGGGGGAGTAGCGGTTATTATTAGAGAAGGCCTTAGGCCGAGGGAGACCACTGTACCTCAGACAGCTGGTTGTGAGTCCCTCCTTGTGAAGTGGGGCCATGGGGTTCAGATGGGTTTGCTGATCACGTACCTGGCTCCCTGCCACGTGGCGGCAGCCCTGCCCGAGCTACTCAACGTTATTGCCGCGGTGGCGGTTGATACCCCCAGACTTATGGTCATGGGGGATTTCAACCTGCCATCCGTGGGTGAGGCGTCTGAGGTGGCTCGGGAGTTCATGGCTTCCATGACAGCCATGGACCTGACCCAACTAATTCATGGCCCTACGCTCACTGGGGGAAACACACTGGACTTGGTTTTTGTCTCTGGACAGTGGTTGAGTGATCTCGAGATAGGGGATATAGTCATCGAGCCCTTGTCATGGTCAGATCACTCGCTCCTTCGCCTTGACCTTCGAACCGCAGCACCCCACCGCGGGGAGGCGGAACCGGTAAGATGGTACCGCCCCAGGCGCCTGATGGAACCTGATAGGTTCCAGATGGAGCTTGGGCCAATCCCGGAGGTTCTGGCTCACGCCTCATCTGGGGACCTAGTGGCCGCCTGGGATAGGGCGGCTGCTGGAGCCTTGGATCGAGTCGTGCCTTTGCGGCCTCTGACCCGGCGCCGATCTCGCCTGGCTCCTTGGTTCACCAAGGAGCTGAGGGAGATGAAGCGCCGGAAAAGATGCCTAGAGAGCTGTTGGAGGGCTAGTCTTTCTGAATCTGACCGAACACTGGTAAGATCTTATATTAGGAGTTACCTAGTGGCGATAAAAGCAGCAAAATGTACTCATTTTACTGCTCTTATTGCATCATCAGATAATCGCCCGGCCACCCTGTTTAGGGTGACCCGCTCCCTGCTCCACCAGGAAGCGCGGGAGGACCCCTTGGAGGGAAGAGCCGAGGATTTTGTTCAGTATCTGTATGACAAAATCACTCAGATTCGGGCAGGTCTGGACTCTGACGGGATAGATCCAGCGAGGGTGACGGAGACAGGTCTTGAGACTGTTATCTGGGATGAGTTTGATCCTGTGACCCCAGATGACGTGGACAGGATTCTGGGTAGATTGAACGCGACCACATGTTTGTTGGACCCGTGTCCCTCCTGGTTAGTGCTGGCTTCCCGGGAGGTGACGCGAGGCTGGCTCCAGGGGATTATAAATGCTTCGTTGGGTGAGGGTGTCTTTCCCGCCACCTTGAAAGAGGCGGTGGTGAGGCCTCTCCTCAAGAAGCCTTCCCTGGACCCGGCAGTATTGGCTAATTATCGTCCAGTCTCCAACCTTTGCTTCGTTGCGAAGGTTGTTGAGAGTGTGGTTGCGCGACAGCTACCCCAGTACCTGGATGAAGCGTCGTATCTAGATCCGTTCCAGTCGGGCTTCAGGCCTGGGTACAGCACGGAAACGGCATTGGTCGCGTTGGTTGATGATCTCTGGAGGGCTCGGGACAGGGGTTGTTCCTCTGTCCTGGTCCTGTTAGACCTCTCAGCGGCTTTTGATACCATCGACCATGGTATCATGCTGCACCGGCTGGAAGGGTTGGGGGTGGGAGGCACCGTTTTACGGTGGTTCTCCTCCTTTCTCTCTGACCGGTCGCAGTCTGTGTTGACAGGGGGGCAGAGGTCGACCCCGAGGCCCCTTATATGTGGGGTGCCGCAGGGATCGGTTCTCTCGCCCCTTCTGTTCAACATTTATGTAAAGCCGCTGGGCGAGATCATCCGTGGTTTCGGGGTGAAGTACCATCTGTACGCTGATGACACCCAGCTGTACATCTCCACCCCGGACCACCCCAACGATGCCCTTGAAGTGATGTCCCAGTGCCTGGAGGCCATGCGGATCTGGATGGGGAGAAACGGGCTCAGGCTCAACCCATCCAAGACCGAGTGGCTGTGGTTTCCGACGTCCCGATATAGTCAGCTGGCGCCATCGCTGGCTATTGGGGGCGAATCATTGGCCCCCATGGAAAGGGCTCGTAACTTGGGCGTCCTCCTGGACTCACGGCTGTCTTTAGAAGAGCACTTGACGGCCGTGACCGGGAGGATTTTTCATCAGGTTCGCCTGATTCGCCAGTTGCGTCCCTTTCTAGATCGGGACTCGTTACGCACAGTCACTCATGCCCTCGTCACCTCTCGTCTGGACTATTGTAATGCTCTCTACATGGGGCTCCCCTTGAGGTGCACCCGGAGGCTCCAACTGGCGCAGAGTGCGGCCGCATGGGTGGTTATGGGAGCAACATGGAGCTCCCATGTAACACCTCTCCTGCGCGAGCTGCACTGGCTCCCGGTGGTCTTCCGGGTGCGCTTCAAGGTTCTGGTTACCACCTTTAAAGCGCTCCATGGCTTGGGACCTGGTTACTTACGGGACCGCCTACTACCATCAACAGCCTCCCACCGACCAGTACGCTCCCACAGAGAGGGGCTCCTCCAGGTGCCGTCGGCCAAACAATGTCGGCTGTCGGCCCCTAGGGGGAGAGCCTTCTCTGTGGGGGCACCGACGATCTGGAATGAGCTCCCCCCAGAGATACGGAGGATTCCGGATCTGCGCACCTTCCGCCGCGAGTTGAAGACGCTTTTGTTTCATCAAGCTGGCCTCGCCTAAATCTTCTCCCTTTTAAGTGTAAATTCTAAATTTTTAATGGATTTTAAAATATGGGTATTTTAAATTGGGTATTAATTCAGCCAAATTTATTTAATTCATTTTATTCGATTTTAAATTTTGTATATCTATGTGTTTTATTTCATGGCTGTGCACCGCCCTGAGTCCTTCGGGAGTAGGGCGGTATAGAAATTCAATAAATAAATAAATAAATAAATATTATACCCTCCATTTGTTGAGTTATATATGAAGATAAGAAAAGCTCTAGTCCAGTTTATATAGATGGTATGGGGTTGAAGATAACTAATCTACAGTAACTGGCAGAGGCTAAATTACTCCAGATTGGGGCAATTCTATCAGGATTCAGACCCTAGACCTTCTGCATGTAAGTTTATCAGTGAATTATGGCAATTCCTAGGGCTTTCCCTCCAGTACTTGTTCCTCTGGCTTTGCTGCCCTCTAGCTGAGCTCTGTAGCACAAATCAATGGGTCTCAATCAGTGTTCTGTCTGCTTAAATATCCATTCCTAATCAAGTTAATGCCTAATGAGAATACACAGCCCATTGTACTCAAGTACATAAAGGTGGGGTTGCCTCAAATTTTGCAAGCCATATTTAGGTACTATGTTAAACTGAATTTTTCAGACTGTTTTTCTCATAACTCATATGGGCAACAACAACCAAGTTAAAAATACTGTGGGGGGGGGAACAGGACACTGTATAGGAGCAAGGCCAGCTATTGCAATTAGCAAGTAAAGTAATTTATTTATTTTTTTATGTATACTTTATTAAATTTTTCCATTATAAAAGAAAATATACAATCTCTATTTCCTTCAGAGGTACAGTGTTTGTACAATTTACGGAATCATACGTTAAATAAACTTCATCCTTAGCTGTTCCATATTCTATGCAATATAGCTCATATTTCAAGTACTTAACAAATCATATCCTAAAATCATGTTTTTGTCTTGTTCTTCAACCAATTATACCAATTTCCCCATACTTCATAATATTTAGATTTCTCTTCATTATTTATCTCACTCGTCAATTTTGCCATTTCTGCGCACTCTAGGATTTTGTTTATTAGTATTTCTTCTGAGGATATGGATTTATTTTTCCAGTGTTTCGCA